TGGGTAAGTACTTTTCAGTAAAAAGTCATCTGGGTCTTACTGTGTTCTCTTCTTCCATCCTCCTGTTCCCCCAGTTCACACAGCCAACTTTGGAGAACTTATCCTAGAGCCTGGAGTCCACACTAGGCCATTCTACTCTGAGGCCAGGTTGACACTGTGAATCTGATCTGCCAATGCTTTGTGTCTGTGGTGGCTCTTGCTTTGCATCCCACACACCTCATACATACCCCTGTCCCATTCAGTGTGTGTGTGTGTGTGTGTGTGTGTGTGTGTGTGTGTGATAATAGCTGAAGGGTAAAGCTTCACTCTATACTGTGTAATTTTGCACTTGTCTTTTTTCTACATGCAGAGTGTACAGGAGAGTGAGCTCTCAACATACTCTCATTAAACAGCCAGTCCTATGGAGCAGACAGAGCACAACTTTAACTAGAGCATAACCAATCTTTACGTCTAACTCTGACAGTCTACCTCATCCATTTTCTGCTGTTAGAATAGAACCCCACACACTCGGTAACTCATGAATGGTAGTTGTTTAATGGGTGCATAGTTTTGGAGGACTGTGGTCCTAACATCTAGCAAGAGCCTTTGCTGTGGCACTATGGGGTGGCATTATTATCAGGGCAAGCACAGAGAGAGACAGACTTAAATCTACCCATGTATTCCTTCTATGCGCATTAACTCATTTCTTAGTATGGCATAATCACTTCTCTATATTGTTAAGATGTCACAAACATACACACATGAGTTTTGGAGAGGACATTTAAACAGCTCTGGCCATTATATCAGGTATGACATCCACAAGCTTCCTATAGCATCACCTAACTCATTGGGAATATTTGGGGAAAATTTTTTTAATTGAGGTGTTGGATATGATATGGACCATAGTCATGTTAGACCGTGGACTATAACTTCCAATTCTGGGCAGTTTCTTCATATAGTCTTCTGTCTTAGATGGGGTTTCTATTACTGTGATAAAACACTGTGACCAAAAGCATCTGGGGCGGGGGTTGGTGTGTATTTTAGCTTACGTCCTGTAGTCGTCATCTGGGGAAGTCAAGGCAGAGAGACCTGGAAGCATGAGCTGATGCAGAGGCCATGGAGGAGTGCTGCTGCTCAGCTGCTTTCTTAGAGCACCCAAGACTCCCAACTCAAGGATGGCACTGCCCACAGTGAGTGGGCCCTTCCACATCAATTATCCATCAAGGTAATGTACCACAGCCATGCCTGTCAGTCTGGTGGTGATATTTCTCAGCTTCCCAAATAACTCTAGCTCGTGTCAAGTTGACATAAAACTAGCCAGCACATCTTCCATATGTAATCACATGTCTAAATTAATACTAATGTGCCTCTTTGGAAATGGAGTCTTCTGAGGCAGTTTCTTGTCATTTCTTCCCTGTGGGCATTCAGCTGGGAATCCCCCCCCCTTCTTCTTTTCCTTGGCCAGTTGGATTGATTCACATCTTTTTCTTTTTCTTTTTGTTTTTTTTTTTTTTTGTTTGTTTGTTTTTTTTTTGAGACAGAGTTTCTCTGTATAGCCCTGGCTGTCCTGGAACTCATCCTGTAGATCAGGCTGGCCTCGAACTCAGAAATCCACCTGCCTCTGCCTCCCAAGTGCTGGGATTAAAGGCGTGCGCCACCGCTGTCCAGTGTGAGACTCTGTCTCAAAAGCCAAACAAAAAAATGAATTAGCACAGCTGTAAGATTGACTGGGGATCTGTGGGATGATGCCTTAAGAGTCTAGTTTCTGAGAACCCCTAGCAGATGTGAAAAGTGTTCAGTTTGAGTCTTAACCATTTAGGAACTGCTGTAGTGGGATGTCTTTAAGTAGGGTCATTACACTGGGTCGTTTTTTACTATGTTTTATGTTTACAGTGAACCTTGTACCTCAGGTGAAATGTGCCTCATCATCCTCTGGGACGACCTTGGCCCTCACACCAAGTAGTTGTTCTGCTTTGTAGGTTGGAGACTCGTGCAATGTAAACACTTACTAATAGGTATTGTGTGTTGATGGTTTAAAGGAATAGGGGAAGGTTTTGTTACTTTGTTTTTGGTTCAGGGTCTTGCTATAGCCCAGGCTTGCCTGGAACTCATTATCCTGCTTCCAGCTCACCTCCTAAGGATGATAATAGGTACCACCAAGACCAGCTTTTTAGATAAACTTTAGCAGATTTATCAGTGAGCTGAATGTGATAGTGTGTGCCTGTAATCTTACTTGGGAGGCTTGTACATCAGAATTGCCCCAAGTGTAAGGCCAGCCTGGACTACACCTCAAGTTCCAGGCCAGCCTGGACTACAAAGTAAGACCTTATCTCAAAAAGCAAGCCAACAAAACCTGCTTGGATGTGTTGAGCAGCTTCTACAGTAGAGACTGCCCTGGAGTCTTGCCTAATCAAGAGGCATTTACCAAGGCTCTTTCTTTAAGCTAATCTGTCCATTCTCCTCAGATTTCCAAAACTACCCACTCCTTCTTATGAGTGCTGAGGTAAATATGTAGGGAAAAACAGAACACACCAAGAGAATGACTAGTTCATGGCGACTAATCAAGTTAACTAACCAACCAACTAACCACCAGGGGGACTCTCAGATACCCTTGTAAGTTTTTAAGAAACTCCCCTCTTTTGAGTTTAGAGCTTCTGTTACTTAAATCACAAGCTGCCTCATTGAACTAGGCGAGCTATGCAGTGCTCTGCTTAGGGTTTATTTGTCCTAAGGTCAGGACAGACAGGATGCTGTGGTTCTTTGATCAGAGCACTGTTGCTTCTGACAGTATGACAGGACAGTTTAAATCCAGGTGAAGGTGTGAGCATCCCCTCCAGCAATGCTGGGGGATTCTTACAAAGTACCTGGATTCTTTTTCTTTTCTGTTTTGTTTGTTTGTTTTTGTTTGTTTGTTTGTTTTGTTTTATTTTGGAAGACAAAGTCTCATGGTGCCCAGGCTACTACAGACTCACTTTATAGTCAAGAATACCCTTCAACCTCTGACCCTCCTGCTTCTACTTGCACGTGTTGGGATTATAGGTGTGCACACCACACTTGGTTTTATGTGGTTCTGGGGACTAAATCCATGGCTTTGTACAGCTAGACAAGCTCTCTGTCAGCAGGGATCCTTCCTCAACCATGGATGGCTTTGGGTTGGTGTGCTTGCCCTGGAGTTCAGGAGTGTCGATTATACCACCTTACGAATATTTCAGAAGCCATTAAGTTGTATGCTTCAAAAGTATAAATTTAATATGTGAATCATCTATGAAAATATAATTTGAAGAAACAAAAGTTACATCAGATTTCCGTGTCCTGTTAGCATTTGAGTTTGTGTCAGGTGAGCGGGCCCTTGCTCAGAAGCAGGCACCTAAGCTCTTAGATGGCTCTTCCTCCAGTCCTCACAGTGCAGCTTTATATGTCTTGGGTCAGAAGTGGGGTCCCTCTGTCCAGTGGTCTTTCCTCAAATTGTTCCACCTATGCAGTAGAGAATTTTGGGTGAGAACAGAGCATGTTAATTGGGAATATCATCAAAATATTATTTTACAAAGCTAGGGAATTTATGTATATAGTTGATCAAAAACACTCTGGTTATTCTCTCATTAACATGAAGAATTCAGGCTTAAAAGAAGGCAAAACCCAAGAAATGGGCTAAGTCTTCAAGGTTGGTCTTGTTGTTGTACAGAGTGAATGTTGAGCTCTTTTGTAAATTACTGTAAGGAACAAGACAAAATAAATACTACCTCTATATGGCAGCCATTATTGTGGCCTAGTTTAACATGGTGGAAAAGACATTGGGCTCTATTATCATGAAGTTCATGTCATCCACCTGAATTCTTATCTGTCTGGTTGGCTTTATCTCCTGCAGCTCCTATGTTCCTCTGTTTCCCACTGCTTCATGGTGACCCTCTGTCTCTCTTTTCCCAGTTCCCAGCCAGAGCAACTTCAAGGGTTCCATCCTGTCTCCCTTTACCCAGGCATTGGCCGCTGGTATCTTTGGTTGATCAAAAACCAATTGGGGACAAGGACCTTTAGCATTTGGACATGCAGATTCCTGATTGCATCAAAGCATTAGAACCAGTCTCCAACAGGGGCAAGCCATTTTTACTTTACCTGACTGATCCTTTATTGAGTAACATTTCCTCCTTAAAGAATTTTAAATGAAAATGTCATTTTCTAAAAATCTTGAACTTTTGCAGTTGGTTCACAGGCTTTATTTTTCTATTTTGTAATTGTAGAAATATTATAGTTTTCTTTGAAATTGTCTATAAACCAGCAGCTCTCAACCTGTGGGTTATGACTCCTTTGGCAAACCTCCAAATCTCCAAAAATATTTACAGTACAGTTTACAGTAGCAAAATTACAGTTAAAAGGTAGTAAGAAGAATGATTTATGGTTGGAGTCACCATAGCATGAGGAACTGTATTAAAGGGTTGCAGCGTTAGGCAGGCTGAGAAGCACTGCTGTGAACTTTTTGGCTGTGTGGCGTCAACTGCGTCTCTTTTACTATGGCACAGTTAACTCATGCTGCCTGACATCTTTTCAGTCTGCCTCACCTTCAGTAGAACTGAGATAGGATGTGTCCACTCAATAGTCATATGTATCTCTTTTCTACAGAAATATTCTCACAATTGATCTTACTATAGTGAGTACTCTTAGTCCCAATCTCATAAATATGTGTACAGAGGTTGGCATTGGAGATTGGAATCTTAACATGTAGCCCAGGCTAGCCTTGAACTTGGCGTCTACCTGCCTCAATCCCCCAAGAGTCTATGTGCAACCATCCTCACATCATTATAATGTTAATGCTGGATTCTAAATTCCATAAAAGGAGGAAGTTGTTTTCCTGTATAGTTGTAGAATCTCTCCTCATGTCTTTCACATCATAAGTGTCTTATGTTTGATGTATGAATGCGTACTGTAGTATACATACTACATGTTCATAATAGACATTTCAGAAAACTGTAGTGTTCTGAGTTGAAAACGGTGTAATAATTTATCTTAATGTTTTTGTCTTTCTCTAGGTTGGTATTTTGTATGGCATCTATTTTTATCTAAATTCAAGTTTCTACGGGAGCTGGTGGGAGACACAGGATCCCAGGAAGGAGATAATGAGCAGCCTTCAGGGTCTGAGACAGAAGAGGACCCTTCGGCTTCGCCACACAAGATCAGATCTGCTCGCCAACGCAGGCCGCCTGTTGACGATGGCCACTGAGCAGGCACAGCAGTTTCTTAGACTATGGTTAGAGGCAGTTACGAGCCTCTGTCCTTAGTGACCTAGCTTTGAAGGTTACTAAGTGACCAAGGAACATTTGCAATTGGATTTATATCCAGTTCAAAAAAGATTTACACGTAAGCCATATAGAAATAAAGGGAATTTAAACCAAATTGGGCCATCGCAGATTTTATCTTGGATGTTTTACTTCACTAGGTCTTCTTAACACACTTACTCCCTGGCTCCTGGACTCACTCTTTCTTTCTTTCTTTCTTTCTTTCTTTCTTTCTTTCTTTCTTTCT